TATACCCTCATCAGCTAGCTCGTTCCTTGTGTTATCAACATGTACATTCACATGGGGTGCTTCCCTACATTCACCTCGCATTCACCTCACGCTTAACGACGCAGAGCATGTAGTACACGTACAGTTGCCGTGTTGTGTATCACCACGAGGCAGGTGTATCCGAGTGTACTCAAGCCCTGCTAATCCAGTGTAGTATCCGGTAAGGGTGGGGATGGCCATATATCCCTGGATTTCGCTATGATAAGTCCCAGGATTAGGACATCCCGTCGGGTCAACAGTCCCACTATATGAAACGCAATGACGGCATCCCCGGAATGCATCACTGTAAAACCACATTCACACACATCTACTTATATCTGTCTGTAAATTTGCATATGGATATATGCATATATACACACACAGGTATACCCAGCACACACTGACTCTCTCTCTCTCTCTCTCTCTCTCTCTCTCTCTCTCTCTCTCTCTCTCTCTCTCTCTCTCTCTCTCTCTCTCTCTCGCACGCACACGCACACACACACACACACACCGTATGCTACAGAAAGCAGATAGAAAGGACGATCTTCTCACTACAAGACACTACCCGTATACGACTGTTTGTACACGAGGTATATCTGGTTCACACCGACAATGAAAGACGACTCTACATCACACAATAAAAGTTTGAAATTTCACACTGTAAATGTGTGATTACATGTCACAAAGCAAATGTTTGATTGTATTTCACACAGTAAATGTTTGATTGTATTTCACACAGTAAATGTTGTATTTCACAAAGTAAATGTTTGATTGTATTTCACACAGTAAATGTCTGATTGTATTTCACACAGTAAATGTATGATTGTATTTCACACAGTAAATGTTTGATTGTAATTCACACAGTTAATATTTGATTGTATTCTGTATGGTAAATGCATGTTTATTATGTATGGTAAATGCCTGACTCTGTTTTGTATGGTAAATACGTGACTTTAGTCTGTATTGTAGATGCGTGACTTTAGTCTGTATGGTAAGAACGTGACTTTAGTGTGTATGGTAGATGCGTGACTTTAGTCTGTATGGTAGATGCGTGACTTTAGTCTGTATGGTAGATGCGTGACTTTAGTCTGTATGGTAGATGCGTGACTTTAGTCTGTATGGTAGATGCGTGACTTTAGTCTGTATGGTAAAAACGTGACTTTAGTCTGTATGGTAGATGCGTGACCTTAGTCTGTATGGTAGATGCGTGACTTTAGTCTGTATGGTAGATGCGTGACTTTAGTCTGTATGGTAGATGCGTGACTTTAGTCTTTATGTAGATGTAGTCTGTATGGTAGATGCGTGACTTTAGTCTGTATGGTAGATGCGTGACTTTAGTCTGTATGGTAGATGCGTGACTTTAGTCTGTATGGTAGATGCGTGACTTTGGTCTGTATGGTAGATGCGTGACTTTAGTGGTAGATGTATGGTAGATGCGTGACTTTAGTCTGTGTATGGTAGATGCGTGACTTTAGTCTGTATGGTAGATGCGTGACTTTAGTCTGTATGGTAGATGCGTGACTTTAGTCTGTATGGTAGATGCGTGACTTTAGTCTGTATGGTAGATGCGTGACTTTAGTCTGTATGGTAGATGCGTGACTTTAGTCTGTATGGTAGATGCGTGACTTTAGTCTGTATGGTAGATGCGTGACTTTTAGTCTGTATGGTAGATGCGTGACTTTAGTCTGTATGGTGTCTGTATGTGACTTTAGTCTGTATGGTAGATGCGTGACTTTAGTCTGTATGGTAGATGCGTGACTTTAGTCTGTATGGTAGATGCGTGACTTTAGTCTGTATGGTAGATGCGTGACTTTAGTCTGTATGGTAGATGCGTGACTTTAGTCTGTATGGTAGATGCGTGACTTTAGTCTGTATGGTAGATGCGTGACTTTTTAGTCTGTATGGTAGATGCGTGACTTTAGTCTGTATGGTAGATGCGTGACTTTAGTCTGTATGGTAGATGCGTGACTTTAGTCTGTATGGTAGATTTAGTCTGTATGGTAGATGCGTGACTTTAGTCTGTATGGTAGATGCGTGACTTTAGTCTGTATGGTAGATGCGTGACTTTAGTCTGTATGGTAGATGCGTGACTTTAGTCTGTATGGTAGATGCGTGACTTTAGTCTGTATGGTAGATGCGTGACTTTAGTCTGTATGGTAGATGCGTGACTTTAGTCTGTATGGTAGATGCGTGACTTTAGTCTGTATGGTAAATACGTGAATGTTCTTTTCTTGAACAAAGGTAATTTACATTAAGCGCCTATTCGGCGTTATAGGTATGTCACCACACAGGTAGGTATCACCTTAGGGGATGGAACATTCACAGCTAAATGATAAGGTAATGTTTTCTCAAATATATATTGTTTCACAATCCGGAGTATCACCCCAAGTATGATATCAACAAGTACTTGATACGGTCCTGAACGTACTCCATGCCGATATATGACTAGAAACTGGTGGATTGGTGTCAGTGTAAACCGTTACAGCAATCCTGTCACCGCATCCCAACGTCCACGCCGGCAACAGTAACGTTAACTTGTGTGCGTATTTCCAGAAGAACTAAATTAACATTTGAAAGATGAAAGCGCACTCATGAAACCTTATATGGCTAACACTTTCTCTATTGTATTTTCCGACGCTTCCGACTCTTGCCCCATGATCAGGTGAATCATTCACACAACAAAAAGCTGTTATCCTTTCTGTGATTCATGTCGCCATATACAGATCTACGTCATGCCTCTTCAGAGGAAAGCCTTGACATCGGAAAGCTATATATGTCGACAAGACTAACTACAATAATATGATACAGTCGTGAGATCCCCAACTTTTGTGTAGTATAAATATACGATTTGTCATTAAACCTTCAAGAGTAAGTTTATATGCGGTATCACATGTCGGTACAAGAGAGTTGCCTAACAAACTTGAATAACATGAGAACGGTTTACACTATAGGCTCTGTTAGGTGTACTTGCATGATTCTGCAATAGAAAGGTGTGACGTATTGTGTTTGAGAGTAGATTACAGTGGAGGACGATGGAGTGCCTGTTGTCATGAGGTTGCGAAATGTGCGATGACCCCAGCAGGTCAGTCCGGTCATGTCCAGTGCAATGACTACAACAAGGAAACGATGATAGGGATGGTTCAGAGGGGGTATAAGACGTCATTGGGCGAGTTAGTAACTACTGGACGGCCATGCACTACCCGACCCCTGGCTACAGCCTGCACCGGCCAGGCTCGGGGGACGCGTGTGCCACACGTTAACATGGGTTGACATAATGTCCCCCAGAAACATTCTGGTTTACCACGGAGACATGGATAACCTAGCATTATATCACATCCATAGACAAACCGATACTTGTCACAGAACACCTCTGTGTTGCCAGTTGTATACAAAACATATGTTACGGATGGAATCCTGAAAACATACTATACAAGCTGTAAATGAAACCATATAAAGTGTTTTGCTGTAATTTGCATAAATGATTCACTTTTATATGTTTTCTTCATACCCGACCATGAGAAACACATTTTGTAGGTTGTCAGTATGTTTTAAGCTTTTATGAATGTGAATGTGATTCAAGATGTTTTAAGGAGTACAATACGTGAAAAAGGTAGTCACTCACCCCTGCAGCCGGCGCTCCGTGTTATATTGACGGCTAAGGGGAGGGAGGTGGTCACGGCGATACATACATACACACATACAGCAGGCCGCGGCCAGGAAAAAAACAACCGCACATGCGCAATGGGCAGTGTGCTTCTGAAAGCTGGAGTTTAAAGTGGAGCCGGGGTGTTTGTACAGTGTTTCATCCAGTAAGCTGTCGCAAACACCCAAACCAGAGCAATCGATAGCAAGAAGAGTTTTCCAAGTGCATCAAAAGACGCCGACCCCTCTTGCCAGGTAGCAGTCGTTCACCAGCTAGAAGGGGGGACACAAGGATGACATGGAAGTCTTTGTTTCATTAAACTGGTGTTACGGGATCTTCATTCAACTTTAGATGCCAACGCCCATTGGCCTTCGTCAGTGAACTTCAGCCTTGCACTAACCAATCGTCCCCAGTGGGACAGCCGTCACGTAGCAGAACAAAACACGTGAGACCAAGTTATATGCCACGGCTGACCATTTGAGGAAACTCATATGCAGGGATTATAAAATGATCATAGGTTGTTGTTCTTGTTGTAGTTGTTGTTCTAATTTTGCTAGCAGCATATAGAAGATGTGCCATCAGTAAAGATAGTTGACATTTTATAAAAAGGTAAGATCAATTAGTCATCTGTTCTACATACCGAAATGGTAGGGCTCCATCTGTTCTACATACACACGTAGGTAGGGCTCCATCTGTTCTACATACCCACCCACGTAGGGCTCCATCTGTTCTACATACACACGTAGGTAGGGCTCCATCTGTTCTAGGGCTCCATCTGTTCTATATACACACGTAGGTAGGGCTCCATCTGTTCTACATACCCACGTAGGTAGGGCTCCATCTGTTCTACATACACACGTAGGTAGGGCTCCATCTGTTCTACATACCCACGTAGGTAGGGCTCCATCTGTTCTACATACACACGTAGGTAGGGCTCCATCTGTTCTACATACCCACGTAGGTAGGGCTCCATCTGTTCTACATACCCACGTAGGTAGGGCTCCATCTGTTCTACATACACACGTAGGTAAGGCTCCATCTGTTCTACATACACACGTAGGTAGGGCTCCATCTGTTCTATATACACACGTAGGTAGGGCTCCATCTGTTCTACGTACCCACGTGGAAGGGCTACATCTGTTCTACATACCCACGTAGGCAGGGCTTCATCTGTTCTACGTACACACGTGGTAGGGCTCCATCTGTTCTACATACACACGTAGGTAGGGCTCCATCTGTTCTATATACACACGTAGGTAGGGCTCCATCTGTTCTACATACACACGTAGGTAGGGCTCCATCTGTTCTACATACACACGTAGGTAGGGCTCCATCTGTTCTACATACACACGTAGGTAGGGCTCCATCTGTTCTCTACCCCACGTAGGTAGGGCTCCATCTGTTCTACATACACACGTAGGTAGGGCTCCATCTGTTCTACATACACACGTAGGTAGGGCTCCATCTGTTCTACATACACACGTAGGTAGGGCTCCATCTGTTCTACATACCCACGTAGGTAGGGCTCCATCTGTTCTACATACACACGTAGGTAGGGCTCCATCTGTTCTACATACCCACGTAGGTAGGGCTCCATCTGTTCTACATACACACGTAGGTAGGGCTCCATCTGTTCTACATACACACGTAGGTAGGGCTCCATCTGTTCTACATACTCACGTAGGTAGGGCTCCATCTGTTCTACATACACACGTAGGTAGGGCTCCATCTGCTCTATATACACACGTAGGTAGGGCTCCATCTGTTCTACATACACACGTAGGTAGGGCTCCATCTGCTCTATATACACACGTAGGTAGGGCTCCATCTGTTCTACATACTCACGTAGGTAGGGCTCCATCTGTTCTACATACACACGTAGGTAGGGCTCCATCTGCTCTATATACACACGTAGGTAGGGCTCCATCTGTTCTACATACACACGTAGGTAGGGCTCCATCTGCTCTATATACACACGTAGGTAGGGCTCCATCTGTTCTACATACTCACGTAGGTAGGGCTCCATCTGTTCTACATACACACGTAGGTAGGGCTCCATCTGTTCTATATACACACGTAGGTAGGGCTCCATCTGCTCTATATACACACGTAGGTAGGGCTCCATCTGCTCTATATACACACGTACCTGTATATGACCTAGATGTGTGTGTTTCGCTTTATCCCGTGTGTATACGAATCTGTGTGTTACACTGTACCTTTAACTTCCCATCCATCTGTCAATCCATGTATCGTTTCTGCTCATTCGACCTTAAATATGGGTTATCTGTCACCATATTTCTTGACCTTCAATGTTCCACTGAATCCTGGAATCCACTTAAGCAGTCTCCAGTGTGTATCAACTCTTTCTGCATCTGTGTCCTACAGATACGCCTTCTAAAATAATTTGATAATGTCAAATCACACGGAATTCACAGAAAAGCACACGCAAATTTAGTAATGAAATGAATTCAGATGCTTACGTTAGCAGGGAAAGGCATATGTACATCTGAAAGTAACGTGTGTGCGTGCGTCTTAGTGTAGTTTAGCGAATATGGTCCGGGAAAAACATCTATATACACTGTCATCTCCATATAAAGATATATATTGTAATTCTTTTACTTCTAAATGTCCTGAGACTGTCAGGAAGACAAGCACAGGTGTTCACTATTGTCCATGTGGAGGTAACATCCACGTGTGGGGGATCCAAGTTGACCAATACACATGATGCAACGACACCTTGGCTGCAGTGTGCACGTTAAGGTCACTTGAATGTCAAGGTCATCTGTGGCCGACAAGTGAGTATGATTGCCGATGATTTTGTAGAAAATGCCTGCTTACTGCCGAGGAAGTGATATGTAGATGTTGCAATCAGTTTGTAGACCCGTGGAATATGGCCGCCGATCGAAAATAGCACTCCATAGGTGCTATCAACGTGGCTGGAATTAATAAATAGAGTGTGTTTCCGTATCATAAATATTATATATTAGGAATAAAAAAATGTATTATTCGAGCCTTTGGCGAGGTTAATAATCTCTTTATCATATAATGTCATTCTTAAAATTACTCTAAAAAAGAAGCAAATCGTACGTGAATTTATATATGAAGATAATCGAACATTCGCGTAAGAATACTTAGCGGTACACCAAGGTGAAGGTCGTTCATGACGGCGGCATATAGTTGTGACTAGTCGCTAATACAGTGCAAACATAACTCATGCTTACAATGAGATCTTTCTGTCTAAAAGGAACAACAAAACCGGGCAGGGATTTCCTGGCAGTGTTTCTATTTTCATTGCGGGTAAGCACCTCATCAATATCAGTTTCTGATACCTGACGGAATCGATTCGTCGTCTGCATTGTGATCGATAGATCGAAATCCTTGGTTGGTACCTTTCTTAGACGATTGCCTTTCAGTCGTGCCTCATAATCCGTACCTTCAGTGTGAACCAAGTACTCCGTTTCATGTTTTCCGAAGTCAATTACTGCAGTAACGACTCCAGAACCTCAGTCATCAATTCTTACAGAATCACCAATTTTGAGAATGGGGGCAGCCATGTTTGTTTACAAACAATGTAAACTCGTGACGACGTCATCAATGAAATGTTAAAACGTTTTAGGATTCGCATGGCGTGCATGGAGTTTTGTGACAGTAGTTCGTGGATTGAACAAAGTTTATCAGATTGCTTTATTGCACCGATAACAACCTCCATTAGATGATAAACGAATTTAAAAGGTTTTCGCTATCTTGGCTGATCCATGATTTTGGCTTGGAGATGTGCAGGTAGCTGTTATCGGTGATTGTGGCTTATAACTTTCGAAATAATGATCCGATTGTGACCATTTACAGCTCATTTTGTTGGGAAAAATATTTTACGTGGTGAAATCTAACTTTGATTAAGGAGAGGGTGGTTTCGTCGTTACGTACCTTTCCTTTTATATAGTAGTAGGGTTGGGTCTATACACCTATATGTCTTTCTAACGCTGTATCTCAGCGAGACACGACCCTATCAGGGTGGGCAGTGTGTTCCGTGTTGACAGGCGCCGAGCTCAGGGTGGACAGTGTGTTCCGTGTGGACAGACACCGAGCTCGGGGTGGACAGTATGTTCCGTGTGGACAGACGCCGAGCTCGGGGTGGACAGTATGTTCCGTGTGGACAGACGCCGAGCTCAGGGTGGACAGTATGTTCCGTGTGGACAGACGCCGAGCTCAGGGTGGACAGTATGTTCAGTGTGGACAGACGCCGACCTCAGAGTGGACAGTGTGTTCCGTGTGGACAGGCGCCGACCTCAGGGTGGACAGTATGTTCCGTGTGGACAGACGCCGAACTCAGGGTGGACAGTATGTTCCGTGTGGACAGACGCCGAGCTCAGGGTTGACAGTGTGTTCCGTGTGGACAGGCGCCGACCTCAGAGTGGACAGTATGTTCCGTGTGGAAAGAAGCCGAGCTCGGGGTGGACAGTGTGTTCCGTGTGGACAGACACCGAGCTCGGGGTGGACAGTATGTTCCTGGTGGACAGACAGAAAGATGGGGATGGACAGTGTGTTCCTTGTGGACAGACGCCGAGTGCGGGATGGACAGTGTGTTCCTGGTGGACAGGCAGCAAGATGGGGATGGACAGTGTATTCCAACCCGACAGACAGTGATTGAGTGTCAGGAGATAGAATTGGCGTTATGTTGATTATCTACTCCGCTCCACAACATCAGAGTTCTAGAACCTCGCGACGTTAGCATTGGTGTGGGGAGCGACAACGAAAACAGAAGACATAAACCAACCTCCACCTCCAGTGAATCACGTGAGGTGGGAGTCTTGTCTCCAAACAGCTCCCCAAGAAAAATATGTTCCAACATGTTATATGTTAGACAGCCGTTTGTCTTGCCACCGTGTCCTCCCCCAGGGCCAGATCCCCGCGTTTACAGCATCATCTACGGCGTCCCCGGAGGATGAGACAGGTCTAGGTGAGCTTTGATTCCTCCACTACAAGGAAACATCTCGCCGACATCAAGCCCGGCCCCAAACTACTGGCTCTCTTCACAATGGAACTAAGCTTTGATTCAGCCAAACAGGGCTTGTTATGACGAAGACTCTTTTTAAGGTATCAGCTGAAGGGGCATGGTGTAATGACATATTTAGACTGTGGCTATAAGATTAAGAAGGTAGGTGTCGTGGCATTATTGACTTTATGGGAAACAGCTGCGCCAATCTGCAGACAATGGGGTGGAGACGTTTAGTTCCCTCACACTACAGCTACTTCCTGCCGGGCACGACGTGGTCTACATTAGCCAGATAAACCAGGATGGATGTACATAAAACAACCCATACTGATTGTGAGCTATACTCCATTGTAGAGACGAGACATGCAACGTGATAACACATTCTGCACATAAGCTTATATAAATGATCGTGATACTACAGTACAGCAGTCTCCAGACATCACTTCATCGCTCACAGTATGTCCGACTGCAAACATCACTTCATCACTTACAGTACCCGCCGCCATATAGCGGGAATATTACTGTGTCCGACGAAAAACTAAAATCACTCAATCACGAACAGTACAGCAGTCTCCTCACAAAACTTCATCAGACACAGTACATCAGTCTCTACACTTCATCACGTACAGTACATCAGTCTCCACACTTCATCACGTACAGTACATCAGTTTCCACACTTCATCACGTACAGTACATCAGTCTCCACACTTCATCACGTACAGTACATCAGTCTCCACACTTCATCACGTACAGTACATCAGTCTCCACACTTCATCACGTACAGTACATCAGTCTCCACACTTCATCACGTACAGTACATCAGTCTCCACACTTCATCACGTACGTACAGTACATCAGTCTCATCAGTCTCCACACTTCATCACGTACAGTACATCAGTCTCCACACTTCATCACGTACAGTACATCAGTCTCCACACTTCATCACGTACAGTACATCAGTCTCCACACTTCATCACGTACAGTACATCAGTCTCCACACTTCATCACGTACAGTACATCAGTCTCCACACTTCATCACGTACAGTACATCAGTCTCCAGTACAGTCATCAGTCTCCACACTTCATCACGTACAGTACATCAGTCTCCACACTTCATCACGTACAGTACATCAGTCTCACTTCACACTTACATCATCATCACGTACAGTACATCAGTCTCCACACTTCATCACGTACAGTACATCAGTCTCCCACACTTCATCACGTACAGTACATCAGTCTCCACACTTCATCACGTACAGTACATCAGTCTCCACACTTCATCACAGTTTCCACACTATCACACAGTACATCAGTCTCCACACTTCATCACGTACAGTACATCAGTCTCCACACTTCATCACGTACAGTACATCAGTTCATCACGTACACTTCATCACGTACAGTACATCAGTCTCTACACTTCATCACGTACAGTACATCAGTCTCCACACTTCATCACGTACAGTACATCCAGTCTCATCACGTACAGTACACACTTCATCATCGTATCACAGTACATCAGTACTCCACACTTCATCACGTCACGTCATCACCACACTTCATCACGTACAGTACATCAGTCTCCACACTTCATCACGTACAGTACATCAGTCTCCACACTTCATCACGTACAGTACATCAGTCTCCACACTTCATCACGTACAGTACATCAGTCTCCACACTTCATCACGTACAGTACATCAGTCTCCACACTTCATCACGTACAGTACATCAGTTTCCACACTTCATCACGTACAGTACATCAGTCTCCACACTTCATCACGTACAGTACATCAGTCTCCACACTTCATCACGTACAGTACATCAGTCTCCACTTCATCACGTACAGTACATCAGTCTCTACACTTCATCACGTACAGTACATCAGTCTCCACACTTCATCACGTACAGTACATCAGTCTCCACACTTCATCACGTACAGTACATCAGTCTCCACACTTCATCACGTACAGTACATCAGTCTCCACACTTCATCACGTACAGTACATCAGTCTCCACACTTCATCACGTACAGTACATCAGTCTCCACACTTCATCACGTACAGTACATCAGTCTCTTTACGTCTACATCACTTATTACTATCCCAATCCCAGTAGCGTAAATCGAT